AACCAAGCAGCCGAAGAAAGAAGTAAGACAAAGAAAACAATAATTCTGTGTGGACAAGTGTTAGAAAATGAGGTTCATTCTAACATGGTGCTGGTGGTGTAGTTGTTGTCTTCTCCTTCAACATACTGCACTTGATTGGTGTACACATGTTGCACTGGCACTGATGTGAGCTGCTGCTGGACCTAAGGAGTGAGTGCGCACACACACACACACACACACACACACACACACACACACACACACCAAAATCCAATAAATCCTCAGCCATCTTGTTGAACTACATCAACTCTTTCATCCTTTAGAATCTTAATATCTTTCATGTCTGGCCTTGTTTTTGCACTACAAACATTTCTTATACTGACAGCTTCTCTGTCCACTCATCTTTGTAGCAGCAGATTCTCTCGTGTCCCTGACCTACTTGGAAAGCGGCGGTTGCTGTGTGCAGAGGTGGCTGATTGGGACCTGAGCTGAGGATGGCAGGGTAGCCTATCTCTCTCTCAGCATGCACAGAGAGCATGCACAGTGACTGCCAATACTCATCCAAGGGGAGGTAGACGGGTTTGCAGCAGTAGCCGTTTACGCAGTCTGCTGACATCCAGGCAAGGCAGACTGACTCCTCTGCCTCATGACGCAGCTGCCAATCTTCTAGTTTCCTATCCCTGACTAAACCGGTCACCTCCGTGCTAAGGGGAAGCTGAAAAGTTGCAGATTTGACCACAGAAACGATGAGCTGACTAATACTGAGCCAAAACACAAGGAAGTTGCAAAGTTTTGTACGCATCACAAGTCACATTGATCACACATTTAGTGAAGTGAAGCTGTGATGACTAGCTCGCATTTACACACTGGTTAGTGAAAGCATAAGTTATTTTCAGACATCACGTATATGCCATCACCACTGACAAACTCCACTGGGAGTTTGGCTTACCTCCTGGGTGATGTGGACAGGCTGTAGACTGGTGACGCTGAGCTGTGTGCCTGGCTCAGTTTTGGCAATCTGGGAGGTGGCCTGCACCACTGACCTCTATTGAGATGAA